CTTAATTTGCAATTAAAACTAAAGGTTTGCTCACAGAAAAATGTAAGTTTACGCACTTGATTCCGCCCAGGATCGAACTGGGGACCTGTCGCGTGTGAAGAGAATGTGATAACCACTACACCACGGAACCACATAATTCGGAAACTTTCAAGATACATTAAATTGACATATGTGATATTTAATAAAAGTGCATAAATTTGAAAACGATTAGAATTTCATGCATTTGAGGCTTTCTACATTTGCAATAAAAACTAAAGATTTGCTCACAGAAAAATGTAAGTTTACGCACATGATTCCGCCCAGGATCGAACTGGGGACCTTTCGCGTGTGAAGAGAATGTGATAACCACTACACCACGGAACCACACAATTCGGAAACTTTCAAGATACATTAAATTGAGATATGTGATATTTAATGAAAGTGCGTAAAATTTGAAAACGATTAGAATTTCATGCATTTGAGGCTTTCTTAATTTGGAATAAAAACTAAAGATTTGCTCACAGAAAAATGTAAGTCTTCGCACTTGATTCCGCCCAGGATCGAACTGGGGACCATTCGCGTGTAAAGCGAACGTGATAACCACTACACCACGGAACCACACAATTCGGAAACTTTCAAGATACATTAAATTGACATATGTGATATTTAATAAAAGTGCATAAATTTGAAAACAATTAGAATTTCATGCATTTGAGGCTTTCTACATTTGCAATTAAAACTAAAGATTTGCTCACAGAAAAATGTAAGTTTACGCACTTGCTTCCGCCCAGGATCGAACTGGGGACCTTTCGCGTGTGAAGAGAATGTGATAACCACTACACCACGGAACCACACAATTCGGAAACCTTCAAGATACATTAAATTGACATATGTGATATTTAATAAAAGTGCATAAACTTTGAAAACGATTAGAATTTCATGCATTTGAGGCTTTCTCATATTTGATCACAGAAAAATGTAAGTTTACGAACTTGATTCCGCGCAGGATCGAACTGGGGACTTTTCGCGTGTGAAGCGAACGTGATAACCACGGAACCACACTTATCAGTAACTTTCAAGTTATAATACATTGACTAATTTTCAATTTTAAGAAAATGCAAAAATTTATAAACGAATGGAATTTCATGCATTTGAGAAATTTTGATTTGAAATGAAAATTTATAAATTTGATTCCGCCCAGGATCGAACTGGGGACCTTTCGCGTGTAGAGCGAACGTGATAACCACTACACCACGGAACCACACAATTCGGTAACTTTCAAAATACATTAAATTGACATATGTGATATTTAATGAAAGTGCATAAAATTTGAAAACGATTAGAATTTCATGCATTTGAGGCTTTCTTAATTTGCAATTAAAACTAAAGATTTGTTCACAGAAACATGTAAGTTTACGCACTTGATTCCGCCCAGGATCGACCTGCGGACCTATCGCGTGTGAAGCGAACGTGATAACCACTACACCACGGAACCACACAATTCGGTAACTTTCAAGATACATTAAATTGACATATGTGATATTTAATGAAAGTGCATAAAATTTGAAAACGATTAGAATTTCATGCACTTGAGGCTTTCTTAATTTGTAATTAAAACTAAAGATTCGTTTACAGAAACATGTAAGTTTACGCACTTGATTCCGCCCAGGATCGAACTGGGGACCTTTCCCGTGTGAAGCGAACGTGATAACCACTACACCACGGAAACACACCATTCAGTAACTTTCAAGTTATAATACATTGAATAATTTTCAATTTTAAGAAAATGCAAAAATTTATAAACGAATGGTATTTCATGCATTTGAGAAATTTTTGATTTGAAGTGAAAATTTATAAATTTGATTCCACCTAGGATAAAACTGGGGACCTTTTGCGTGTAAAGCGAACGTGATAACCACTACACCACGGAACCACACNCCAGATACTTTAAATTGATATATGTGATATTTAATGAAAGTGCATTAAATTTGAAAACGAATAGAATTTCATGCATTTGAGACGTTCTTAATTTGCAATTAAAACTAAAGATTTGTTCACAGAAAAATGTAAGTTTACGCACTTGATTTCGCCCAGGATCGAACTGGGGAACCTTCGCGTGTGATGCGAACGTGATAACCACTACACCACGGAACCACACAATTGGTTAACTTTCAAGATACATTAAATTGATGTATGTGATATTTAATGAAAGTGCATAAAATTTTAAAACGATTAGAATTTCATGCATTTGAGGCCTTCTCAATTTGCAATTAAAACTAAAGATTTGTTCACCGAAAAATGTAAGTTTACGCACTTGATTCCGCCCAGTATCAAACTGGGGACCTTTCGCGTGTGAAGCGAACGTGATAACCACTACACCACGGAACCACACAATTCGGTAACTTTCAAGATACATTAAATTGACATATGTGATATTTAATGAAAGTGCATAAAATTTGAAAACGATTAGAATTTCATGCATTTGAGGCTTTCTTAATTTGCAATTAAAACTAAAGATTTGTTCACCGAAAAATGTAAGTTTACGCACTTGATTCCGCCCAGGATCGAACTGGGGACCTTATGCGTGTGAAGCGAACGTGATATCCACTACACCACGGAACCACGCTTGTCAGTAACTTTCAAGTTATAATACATTGACTAATTTTCAATTTTAAGAAAATGCAAAAATTTATAAACGAAGTGAATTTCAGGCATTTGAAAAATTTTTGATTTGAAATGAAAATTTATAAATTTGATTTCGCCCAGGATCGAACTGGGGACCTTTCGCGTGTAAAACGAACGTGATAACCACTACACCACGGAACCACACAATTCGGCAACTTTCTAGATACATTAAATTGACATATGTGATATTTAATGAAAGTGCGTAAAGTTTGAAAACGATTAGAATTTCATGCATTTGAGGCTTTCTTAATTTGCAATTAAAACTAAAGATTTGTTCACCGAAAAATGTAAGTTTTCGCTCTTGATTCCGTCCAGGATCGAACTGGGGACCTTTCGCGTGTGAAGCGAATGTGATAACTAGATACATTAAATTGACGTATGTGATATTCAATGAAAGTGCTTAAAATTTGAAAACGATTAGAATTTCATGTATTTGAGGCTTTCTTAATTTACAATTGAAACTGAAGATTTGTTCACAGAAAAATGTAAGTTATCGCACTTGATTCCGCCCAGGATCGAACTGGGGACCTTTCGCGTGTGAAGCGAACGTGATAACCAAGGAACCACACTTGTCAGTAACTTTCAAGTTATAATACATTGACTAATTTTCAATTTTAAGAAAATGCAAAAATTTATAAACGAATGGAATTTCAGGCATTTGAGAAATTTTTGATTTGAAGTGAAAATTTATAAATTTGATTCCACCCAGGATCAAACTGGGGACCTTTTGCGTGTAAAGCGAGCGTGATAACCACTACACCACGGAACCACACAATTCGGTAACTTTCAAGATACCTTAAATTGACATATGTGATATTCAATGAAAGTGCTTAAAATTTGAAAACGATTAGAATTTCATGTATTTGAGGCTTTCTTAATTTACAATTAAAACTAAAGATTTGTTCACAGAAAAATGTAAGTTATCGCACTTGATTCCGCCCAGGATCGAACTGGGGACCTTTCGCGTGTGAAGCGAACGTGATAACCACTACACCACGGAACCACACAATTCGGTAACTTTCAAGATACATTAAATTGACGTATGTGATATTTAATGAAAGTGCATAAAATTTGAAAACGACTGGAATATCATGCATTTGAGGCTTTCTTAATTTGCAATTAAAACTAAAGATTTGTTCACAGAAAAATGTACGTTATCGCACTTGATTCCGCCCAGGATCGAACTGGGGACCTTTCGCGTGTGAAGCGAACGTGATAACCACTACACCACGGAACCCCACAATTCGGTAACTTTCCAGATACTTTAAATTGACATATGTGATATTTAATGAAAGTGCATAAAATTTGAAAACGATTAGAATTTCATGCATTTGAGGCTTTCTCAATTTGCAATTAAAACTAAAGATTTGTTCACAGAAAAATGTAAGTTTACGCACTTGATTTCGCCCAGGATCGAACTGGGGACCTTTCGCGTGTGAAGCGAACGTGATAACCACTACACCACGGAACCACACTTGTCTGTAACTTTCAAGTTATAATACATTGACTAATTTTCAATTTTAAGAAAATGCAAAAATTTATAATCGAATGGAATTTCAGGCATTTGAGAAATTTTTGATTTGAAATGAAAATTTATAAATTTGATTCCGCCCAGGATCGAACTGAGGATCTTTCGCGTGTAAAGCGAACGTGATAACCACTACACCACGGAACCACACAATTCGATAACTTTCAAGATACATTAAATTGACATATGTGATATTTAATAAAAGTGCGTAAAATTTGAAAACGATTAGAATTTCATGCATTTGAGGCTTTCTTAATTTGCAATTAAAACTAAAGATTTGTTCACAGAAAAATGTAAGTTTACGCACTTGATTCCTCCCAGGATCGAACTGAGGACCTTTCGCGTGTGAAGCGAATGTGATAACCACTACACCACGGAACCACAAAATTCGGTAACTTTCAAGATACATTAAATTGACATATGTCATATTTATTGAAAGTGCATAAAATTTGAAAACGATTAGAATTTCATGCGTTTAAAACTTTCGCTATTTTCAAACAAAATTTACAAATTTTATTCCGCCCAGGGTCGAACTGGGGACCTTTCGAGTGTGAAGCGAACGTGATCACCACTACAACACAGAACCACACATTTCAGTAACTTTCAATGTATATTAAATTGACATATTTGAAATTTTATAAAAGTGTACACGATTTCATAACGATTAGAATTTCATGTGCTTAAGACTTTCTTAATTCAAATAAAAACTAAAGATTTACTACTGAAAAATGTACATTCACGCTCTTGATTCCGCCCAGGATCTAACATGGGACCTTTCGCGTGTAAAGCGAACGTAATTACCACTACACCACGTATTTCAGTAAATTTCAAGGTATATAACAATGACATGTTTGCAATTTTATGAAAGTGCATGAAATTTGAAAACGGTTGTAACAATGTGTTAAAAATGATAGCATTCTAATTTACCTTGAAATTTACTGAAATGCGTGTTACCGTGGTGTAGAGTTTATCACTTTCGCTTCACACGCCGAAGGTCCCCAGTTCGATCCTGGGCGGAATCATTTATTGCACTTTATTTGTTCACTGAAAAATGTATATTTAAATAAACAGTCTGCTGAAGAAATCTGTCAGTTTATCGGAATTATAATTGTTTTAAAATATTAAATCCCCCCCAAAAAAAACAGTTTTTGAAAAAAAGTTTCAGTCATTGAAAAAATATTGTTTGGAAATCAGCCACCGGTGTTTCTTGTTGTATTGCATAACCGCAAATTATTGAAATGCTAAATATATTATTTTTTCCTTATTTTGACCTACATTATTACAAAACAATTGAAAAATATGAATAACACGTTACATAAAAGTTTTGCGTCAAAGTGTTAAGTTAATATAAAATAAGTAAAGAAATTATATATAATCAACAAAAATTATTATTTATTTTGAATAATTTACAAAGATAACATCGAATAAGTTCTAAATCTTGTATTAAATTATTTAACCATAATTGACTATTTATTCTTAACTATCAAACAGTCAATCAATATTAATTTTGTAACTTGCGTTAAGAAAAAAATATAATAAACTTCGGGGGGGGGGAACGTATGTATATTTTTCTCCTGTCATTATTTCCTTATTTTACAAAATAAATAATTAAATATTTCATGATATAGAATTTACCTCGTGTATCATTTCTGTATTCCTTTTCAATTTAATTTCTGTTTTCAAATTTTGATTCATTGTAAGTTGTTATACAAATTATATTTTTCGCCGGTGTCATAAATTTGTTTATTATTGATCTTTACTTGCCAACTCTTATTAAAACAACTTTTTGCAATACATCATTACAATAAATAAACATCGAATTTCAAAACTGCTTTATCTCTTCCTTGTTCTCAATGTTTAAATAAATAAATCTATAAAGATAAAGTATATTTTTAATAAAAAGTAATTTTAAAACTTAGATACTTTTTTCTTATTTGAAGGAAAAATATCTAAGCATTTTAAAGAATTAAAACAACACTAATAATAAAATGATTTAAAATAGTTTGATGATTTCAATTGGATACCTGCAAGTGACGTCATCGTTTGTAAATCGTGGCATCTATCAAATCAAAAGCCAATCGAGTTCGACACACACGCGTGACGTCGCTTACAAGCATCCAATTAAATTTGATTTAAATCGTGTGGTTAGACCAGTGATTCTCAACCTTTTTTTTTGTGACGGCACAATTTTAACCATTTCGAAATTTGACGGCACACAATGAAAAAAATTAGTTTAAAAGTTATTTACTTAACTATAATACACTGAGTTAAATAGTTTGTGATAATAATTTTGAATGTGAAATAAAGTACTACAAAAGCACATTTATTAAGGGATTAATTATTTCTTTCGACTAATTTTTTATTAGTTATTAACAGTTATTTATGTTTTTTGCTAGTTATTAATTGTTCGCTTGTTTTCTATAGCTAGTTTTTTTGCTGATTATTAATTCTTGTCAACTAGTGTTTTTGCTGATTATTAATTGTTAGCTTATTTTTTGTTAGTTTTTTTTTATAACTTTTAATTGCATAGCTTACTTTAATGATTAGCCTTTATTTAAGTTTGAAAGTTAATATTTAGCTTTGCTTTCCTTTGATAATTAATAATTTTAATGATCATTAAATTTCCTACTTATTTCAACATTTTTTAAAATTGTCAACGACAATTTAAACACTTCCTTCTTATTTTAAGATTGTCAGAGACAAGACAATCGCTGACAAAGATGTTCCCGCGGTTAAAGAGTGGAAAAATTATAATATACACTTTTCTTTAATTTAAACTTTACTCGTAATTAAAAAAGCATTATAATTTTTACTGTATCATTTCTAATATTTGGTGGCACATTTTAAGAATTTGGCGGCACACAAAAGTGCCGCGGCACAGTGGTTGAGAATCACTGGGTTAGACCATAATCGCTTCACATCTCCTCGAGTTGCAAGTATTCAATTCAAATTAGTAAAAGAAAACGATTAAATCGTTGTCTAGCTAGTAGTTAAGCCTATTACCGCATTTGGAGGCTGTATATTTTTGATCGGGAAGTGTTGTCATTTTTCATTGCTTTGAATAAAAAATGTTTTGCTTTTTAACATGCTATATCATTAGAGTGAAAATTCTAAATACTTATCTGCAATTATAATGAAACACATTATTTTATAATAAACAATCGAATTATGATAATTGTGGAAAAAATCGCTTTAAGCAAATTCATTTTGTGCAAACGAACATTGTTAGAGATTGTAATATGTTCTTTATGTTAATATCACGTGACTGTAACTACTATTACTTCCACTTAATTTTTATTGTTTTACTTTAGTTTTGGTGATGGCAAAGTTGTTGAAATGTTTTATGTTGGATATTTAGTGTTCGATTAATTAAGATTTACAAATATCACTAAATTTAAGTTGGTTTAGAATTAATAAATGTTTTTTATGTTTTAATTCGTATATGTTTATTCATCTGTAGAACTTGTAGTTCATTTGAATAATACTGAAAGGCGTCAGTAAAATTTATTTGTTTGCTGCAAATTACAATTACAAAACAATACAAAAAATTCTTTTTCTTAAAAAATCTGTCTTAGGATAAATTTTTTTGTGTAAAAACCATTCTTTCAGATTACAGTATTTCGATTTTTTGATAATATTCATTATTTTGCTTTTACTGTGCATATATTCCTTTTGTATTTGTTATTGTTCAGATCAATAATTCAAATATATTATCAACAGTGGGTGATGCAAACAATTGTAATGTATGATAAGCTTTCATGATTTCTCCAAGATACAGTNAACCACGAAATTTACAAAAAATATGACAAATTCGGTGGGACCGACATTGTGAGAACTATTAAAGCATCACGCATTAGGTGGCTGGGCCACCTCTTCAGAAATTCTGATGCCGTCCCTGCCAAAAAAGTGACTTTTTCCACAATTGAAGGGACGAGACGTAGGGGACGACCACCTACAAGATGGATAGACGACGTTGAAAAGGACCTCAAACTATTGGGAGTCAACCGTTGGCGGGCCGTCGCACCGGACAGGGCCAGATGGAGGAAAATCTGCGAGTCAGCCTTGGCCTGTGAAAGGCTGTTGCGCTTATGAAGAAGAAGAAGAAATATCACTAAATTTAAGTTGGTTTAGAATTAATAAATGTTTTTTATGTTTTAATTCGTATATGTTTATTCATCTGTAGAATTCGTATATGTTTATTCATCTGTTCATTTGAATAATACTGAAAGGCGTCAGTAAAATTCATTTGTGTGCTGCAATTTACAAACATTATTTTTTATGAACTATTTATCTTGAGCAAAGGAATAAAAAAAATCAAATGAAACATTCACGGTAAAGATAACTCTTCTTTTCCTGCAATCAAAAACACTAGAAAAGGAAATCATGTATAAATCCCGAGACCACGCGCTTATGTTTTGGCTGTCTTGTTTTTATTGAGTAGAGAGATTATAGAATCTACAAGCACGCAACAATGTTTATGAGTTGAAAGAACGTTTGTAATACACCTGCTTGTTTATTTAATATTTATGTGAGATCCGGCTTCTCTAATATCAACGTTCATATTTATCACTTCCATTGATTTGACAGTCGAAGGAGAAGTTATGGAGGAGATAAAATTCTGAAGTTGTCACGAAATCGACGTAAAATCCGAGTTCATATCAAAACATCCTCTCTGCGTCAACGGTTACCCAAATATTTCAAATCTATGGCACTTATTTTGACCAAGCATATATTTACTTTTACTTCCCTTTCATAAGTTTCAAGGGAAATTTCGTAATGATGTAAAGATTATGGTAATCACGTGAAATTTACATGGAAGAGAAATTTTTTATCGTTCATAATATTTAAAAAACATCGCTGTGTAAAGTTCTTTTTTCTTGAAACTGCGAAACCTTTCTTACTAAATATAAATCTGTATCTTTATTAAATAAAAAAAATTATACCTTAAAATTCAAATTTTTTTTTAGATTATTAAATAAAATTATGATTAAAAATCAGTTTTTGCATGGAATTATCTTTAGTTAAACGAATTTTAGAATTATGTGCAAAACGTTTTCAATTCAGAAATCATAATTCTTTGAAAAAAGGTATGTTTGTCCAAAGAAAGAACTTTTTTTTGTTTGGTTTCATAACTTAAAAATATGGTGAGTTATGGTAAACCGAGTAACTTTTAAAGTGAGTTCTTTATCAACAAATTAAGCAGTAGGAAAATACTTATCCTTCATTTACATTATCATTATAAATTTGCTTCTGTTTTTCATTAAACATCAACAAATCATTGTCCATTGTGAAAATAGCAAAGAGAAAGAAAAAAAATATGATTCTCTAATAACAAATAAAACAGGTAATCATAATATAGTTTATTCTCCATTAATAAATTG